AGAACAAGAGATACCTGGAAAGCGCCAAGTGCTACGCACTCACTCAGAACTACTTCGAAGAGATAGCGCTCAAGTTCATCGAAGCGAAACAAGAAGAAGCGTTGAAGGAGTTCTTGCTGAAGAAACTGAACAATCTGAAACAAAGCGAGAGAACGCAGATCACCTTGCTGGTCACCTGGCTGACCGAGCTCTACCTGAACCGACTCGGGCAGCTGGAGAGCGACGACAACAGCCTCATCTTCCAGGAAACCCGAGACGAGTTCCGCCAGTTCCTGAGCAGCTCCAAGCACAGGGACTGCCTGTTCAACAACCGCGGCACCATTTACGACCTGCTGGCCAGCCACGGCAACGTGGACGACATGGTTTACTTCTCGGTCGTCATGCAGGACTACGAGAGGGTCATATCCCACTACTGCCAGCACGACAACTTCAGTGCGGCCCTGGACGTGCTCGCCAAGCACTGCGACGAAAAGCTCTTCTACAAGTTCTCGCCGGTCCTCATGCAGCACATTCCCAAGAACGTGGTGAATGCGTGGATCCAGATGGGCAAGAGGCTGGACCCGAAGAAGCTCATCCCGGCTCTGATGAACTACAGCCAGATGGGCAGCACCCAGCAGATCAACGAGACCATCCGCTACATGGAGTTCTGTGTTTACGAGCTGAATGTCACTGAGGAAGCCATTCATAACTACTTGCTGTCACTTTATGCAAAGTACAAGCCAGACTCTCTATTGCAGTATCTCAGACAGGCGGGTACTCACCCCTCAGAGATCCACTATGACCTGAAGTATGCACTCAGGCTGTGTGCGGAGCATGGCTTTCTTCAGGCCTGTGTGCTGGTTTATAGAATAATGGAACTGCACGAGGAGGCAGTGGATCTGGCTTTACAAGTAAGTGATGCTCCTTCGTGGTTTGTTAAAGGGGGCTTGTTATGTAAAATTCACTTGCTGCACTTTCTTGTACTTCCATTGGGGTCTCAACTGCTTCTAATAACAGCCCAAGCACTTAAAAAAAAAAAAAACACCCAAGTCTTTTGTTGTTGACTTACAATGAAGAAACCACTTGATGCATTCTTGTTGGTCGTGCATGAGGCTCCACTTTTGCTTTTCAAAGATGTACATAATTACATATTTGTTTGCAGCCATTTTCATGTGCAAGTGTAAATGTTGAATTGGGGGGCGTGGCCAGCAGCAGCTTATTTGAATTTAAAGAGACAAGAGGCTGTGGAACTGAACTGATCAGAAAATCTCACTATTTAAGGATGATTTTGTGAAAAAAATTAAATGAATGTGTTTTGTACAGCCGATAGACATATCAGAACCTGTTCAAGGAAGCATAATAGGTCACCTTTAATGCTCGTACAGCAAGTTCCATTTCTTCACATGCTTTGAATGTGGTTTTAGAAAGGTTTTCTCTTGTCAATAGGTTGACGTGGACTTGGCCAAGTCCTGCGCAGATCTGCCCGAGGACGACGAGGAGATGAGGAAAAAACTTTGGCTGAAGATCGCCAGGCATGTGGTGCAGGAAGAGAAGGATGTGAAGAAAGCCATGAACTGTCTGTCCAGCTGCAACTTGCTCAAGATCGAAGACATCTTGCCTTTCTTTCCAGATTTTGTCACCATTGACCACTTTAAGGTCCTCATTCATGATGATTTGAACATTGTAACAACAAAACCAATTCTGTGTGAATATAAGGTGTGATTTTAAGAAATGATCAGCTTCCATGGGATGTGGCTGATATGAGAGTATATTTAGGAGCTTTGCTTACAATCCTTTTAAAATATCACAATGTTGAATATATTTGTTTTGTTTTAGAAATGCAATCCTTCTTTTTTTCAGGAGGCAATCTGCAGCTCCCTGGAGGAGTACAACAAGCACATCGAGGAGCTGAAGCAGGAAATGGAGGAAGCCACAGAGAGTGCTAAACGAATCAGGGAAGACATCCAGGAAATGAGGAATAAGTACGGCGTTGTGGACTCCCAAGAAAAGTGTGCAGCATGTGACTTCCCGTTACTCAACAGGCCCTTCTATTTGTTTCTGTGTGGACACATGTTCCATAACGACTGCCTGTTTCAGGTAAAAACAGGTCTAAACTTCCTGTTTTTCCAGCTGTAGAAATGCTTTATACCAGTGGTTCCCAAACTTTTTCTGTGCCCCCCCTATGGATTACAAATGGCTGTCTGGTTGAAACCATGCGTGTGACAGGGGGGCAGGGGGCATCGACTTTTTTGGGGCGAAATGAATGTACGTAGCTGAAAATAGACACCAACATCGGTAGCCTACAAGCTACTTGTTAAGCTTAAGGTTCTGTATTGATATTAGCTAGTCATCTTTTAGCTAACACTACCTACATCCAACAGCTTTACTCAACTCAGTCGGTTAGTTTGGAGGGAAAAACTGAAAAGTTCTTTGCGTTTTGCTGGTTTGCTGCCGTGATTCTATCACAAACCTACGTAGCTCCGCACAGCAGCAGCAGGTCTCCTTCACAGGTGTAAACCCAGCGCGAGCGTCGTAGCGCTCATGTTGTGTTTAAAGGCGGCTCGGAAAAACAGGTTACAGCATGTTAACAACGGATTAAACAGTTTTAACTGCTGATAAAAGTGACAGAGGACACAAATATGGGAAGTGTGGAAGCCTCTACTGTATCAAATTGACATAGGTAAATAGGTTCTAAGGTAAAAACCCAGCGCATACAGTGTTGATGTTTTGGTTTTTTTTTTTCATCCAGACTGCTTCCGGCGCCCCCCACAGTTTGGGAACCTCTGCTTTATACAAAGGCTTTATAAACTGAGAGATCTTTAACTTTAACCAGTAACGTTAATATAGCAACCAAGACGTGATTTCTTTTGCGTATTTTGTTTTCCTACCATATAGGAAGTGACCCCTCACCTCTCAGCCTTCAAGCAGAATCGCCTGGAAGAGCTCCAGAAGAAACTGGCTGCTACAACACAGTCCTCTAAATCTCGCCACCGTCCCACTCAAAAGGAGGAAGGGGACACGGCGAGTCTGGGAAAGGGCATCGGGGCAACGAGCCGTGAGCAGATCGTATCGGACATCGATGACATCGTTGCATCTGAGTGCGTGTACTGTGGCGAACTGATGATCAAATCCATCGACAAGCCTTTCATTGACCCGCAGAAATTTGAACAGGACAAATCCAGCTGGCTGTGAAGACATCTGTTTGAAAACGAAGATGCAAAGGCCTTTCTTTTTTTGTCTGTGAAACCCGTAGGACCAAGGAACTCGGTAGAAAACGATATTTGCCTGATTGCCTGTTGGTAGTGCCTATTCTGATTTACGGAATCCTTCTTATTTTGCTGTCAGTCTGATGGAACAAACTTTGCACTTTGTATATAAGTATTTAAAGAGCGATCGTCAAGAACTGACTTTGTGAAAGATGATGCAAGACAATGTAATATCAAATATTTGCAGTCAGTACAGTACATTGCATAAATGTGATAATAACTGCAGATGTCACCGCACAATAAGTTTTAGCTTTTAGCATTACGTTGGGTGGTTGTTTGGCACTTAAAACATAACACACAACAGCATCTCTGTTTGTTCTGTTTCTTGGTCTGTAATAATTTACGATCCAGTAACTGTGGAAAATAAACTGTTACTTCATATTAAAGCCATTTTGGGATTGAATTGCTGTAACATCAAGACTTGGGTTTTGAGGTAGAAAAAATTTGGTTTAAAACTGATGAAATATTCAGACTCGTTTTAGGCTGAGGGTACAAACTTAAATGCACATCAATGTGGCTATAGAGGGAAATCTCTGTAGACGTGAAAGCACAGTATGAGCAGCAGATTAAGGCAAATATCCAGAAGTGTTTGGTTTTGAGCTCAAGTTTGTAAAATTATAAGTTACTTAAATCTGAAAGTAAATTGTACTGTCTAGATACCTAAAACATGAGCACTCTTCTTAAATTGTACTTATATTTAAGGAAAATGGTTAAATGACAAGCAATAACTTGTTTTCTCCAACATAAAAGTTATTGCATATTTATAACAAGCTGTATAATTAGTTGGATCACACCTGCAAGACTTTTCCAGTTCATGTCATGGATATATCATGCTAGTAGACACACAGTGTTTGCAACTTGTTTTTTGTGTGTGTATATATATATATATATATATATATATATATATATATATATATATATATATATATAGAATACTGAAAAAAAACAGTTTTAAGCTATTCTTAAAATAGAAATATCTTTATGAAATTCGTAGTTAAGTTTATCTTAATTTGTTAATGTGCGCTTACGTTATTCGCTAGCTTCCACTGGTATGCCTTTGTGCCCATTTTGTATAAAAAAGTTTTTTTCACCTCAGACATTTCTTATGAAATATTCCCTGCGACGCACAGAAACAAATTACTTTTTGGAGATGCATCAAAAGTTTATCTGTATAAAATTTTATTACATCTGTATAAAAATTTATCTTTTGAACTGAATATAATAAATTTAAAGATTAATGCATCCAGTCAGCCATAATCACAACGAATAATGTAAGATTTGTTGTGTTTTCTGGGAACAAGCATATTGTACATTACAGTTATAGAAATGAAAGACACTTTGCTTTATTTTACTATAGCAATACTATGGAGTTTTTTATTTTATTTTATTTATTATTTTAAAGCAAAATCCGGTTTATTCCCTTTACCTTAAAATTTCTTAAACGTTGCTGCCTCATCTTACCAAAAACGGAGTTCCCTTGTGGTGACGAAAGACGTTGTTCGGCAATCTTCGCAGAAAGCAGACACTATCAATCGAGATCGGAAATTCATCGTCGTGCTTGTATTATGCATATTTATACGACTTGCAATGTCATATGTAAGAGTAATATAACATTTTTTAACCGTAAAGAAATCTTGCTAATTTTTTTTTGGTTGCTGGTGTTGGCTCAAAGATACCGGTTGACTCTCGTCTCTCTATCTGGTATTGATTAAAGCGCCTGCTCCTTGCTGTAACCTGGCCATGGCGTCGTGTCTCTGCTCTCTCAGTAACAGAAAGTGGCCGCCTCTCTGCTGCTGCTGCCGACTCAAAGCTCACAGACTCGCTTGGTGCCTCAAACCGCCATTTTGGAGCCACAGAACCGAGAGTCGGCAGCAGCGACGAGAGGGACCGGAGGGGGGACACGGGGCTGAGGTGAGAGACTCCGCGGTGGTTGTTATGGCGAAGGAGCAATGGGGAAGATGGCCAGGAGGGAGAAAGAATTAAAAGATGGGGATCGTGCATATACCAGGCAGCCGAGCCTCTGCTATTACCCGCTGCAAGGGTACGAGAGGCGCGGGCGCTGGGCCTCGGTGTCGTAACAGCAAGCAAGCCAACAAATTATTATTAAACTGATATATCTTTATACATTGTTTAGGCTGGGAGGTGGTGGCCTTAAAGAGACAGAACCAGTTTGAATACTTCATATTTATGGCGTGAGACGATGTCCTCGTCAGAACTCCTTCGTTTCTGATAAGCTAGCCAGCTAGCATTTCTGATAATAAACCACGTTAAAAATGATACAACAAACAGTTGTCTAATTACATTTGGTGGCTACTGAAGGAATCTACCAATATTGACTTGAATATTAGGGCTGGTTTAATAAACAGCTGTCAGCGCATGTGTGCACCAGCACCTTGACCCCTTTCTATAACTGATCGGAGCCAGCTAACGGTCGTTAGCTTGTATGCTAACCGTCCGAAGGTTAGCTAGCAAGAGGAGCCCTCCATCAGCGCTCGTCTGGATGTACTTCTCTATAACGAAATATGACAGACAAATAGTAATGATAAAACACATTTCTGCATTCTAAAAACAACAAAGCCTGTCTTTATTTTAATTTAATCTTTAACACTTCTAAAGCAAACCAAACATGGCAATTCACATTACAATTTTTATCCTCACATACAAACGGACACACACAATATAGCATGTAAAAATATTTGTGCCCTTCTCAGTTATTGTAAAAAGCTATATTGACATCACTGGATTCAAACACTGACCCCTCTTTTTCAATTTTTGACTAAAGTCTGTCACTGATCTTTCCTGCCACTGCCATAGATTCTTCACCTTAGATTCAAGTTGGGACTCTTACAGAGTAACTCAAAATTATTTGTTCCAGGCATTAGACATTTTTTAGTTAAGTTAAAAGAATAATTTAAATATTTATCTGTATCTACAGATCCTCAGACAAAACAGAACAGTTTTACAGATAGGATAATATTAGTATGACCAATTTAACAGAATTAGCCAGGGTTACAAAGGTTATATCACTCATGAGCTACACCTGTATCTCAGAATGGGTTGGCAAGTTTGATCAAATATTTATTTAGAGTCTATGCTTCAAAACATATCTTGTTTTTTACAAATGGAATGCCTTTGTTATACCCTCTGTCCATATCTTAATTGTTGGAACATTCTTATTCTTCCATAATGTGAGCATTTATTTGTTTTTTTCCCCTGCTGTTATGAGACAATAGGAAATTGTGATCCAGTTTTGGTTAATGTATGTGAGGTTTCAGATACTCCAAGAATAATAAGGAGTCACAACTTCCATAATTTGAGACGTTACATGAGCCAGAAATGTAAAGGCTTTATCGCTGAGGCCCTGTAGAACAGCAAGGAATTTGGGAGTTCCAATCCTCCTGAAATTTTGGACCGCATAAATGTATTTTGCTTATTTTATGAGCTATACATGCTCTCAAAAATGGAGTCATTAAAGAGTCCAAATGTTTAATAAAAACCTTTTGAGCAGATCAAGGTTTCCAGAAACATATTAAAGTGTCCTCCAATTACCAATTCGTCTGTAAAATATATATAAAAAAAAAAAAAATATATATATATATATATATATATATATATATATATATACACACACACACACACACACAGAGGAGTTTCCATATTAGAAGCACATATCTTCACTAATGTAATGCAGGTGCTATGAACTACTATAACTTAGCAACAAGGACTAACATAAGTAATTGGATTAACTGAGATGAAGTGATCATTGAATAGATGGTCAACTAATTTAGCAGTTACTCATTAACTAGTGTGTACAGACTGAAAAAAGTAAAAAAAAAAAAACTACATATTTGTAAATATGTTCTATTTACAAATATGGCCTAGTTTTAGCTTCACTTGGTTCAAATTAAGTAAAACAAACAAACAAAAAAATCTACTGCTATCCAATTACATAATCCAAAAAGTAATCACCACTTGATGTTAAGTGAAGCAGAAAGGGCTGAGCTTTTCACATTTTCATGTTAGAAGTATTATTTAGCAGCTACCTGGATGCATCCTTTGCTACTAAGGATCAAGTATACACCAAAGGAATGCTGTTATTGCATTTTACACAATAAAAAGAATTGGATTATTTGTATTTTCATATATATACGTATATTTTACTTTTAATATTGTAGGACATACAATATTAAGTAGTTCAATGAAAAGTCTTGTCAGATTAATCATCACAATAATCAATAGAATAAACGATTACGAAAATAATTGTTAGTTGCTTTCCTAATAGTGACCCTCATTTCATCTATAGTTTTTTTTTATGCGTACTACTTTTCGCATGGTCTTTTCACAAGAATTCACTTCTTTACTTCCTCATTTCATAAAATTAGAGAAACTGTGCTGCTAAGCAATAATACAGCAGGGCTGTCAAACTCATTTTCATTTTGTCCTCTAAGGGCCAATTGTGGCAGAATTAAACTGTTAGAATTTAAGTAAATAGCTGTCTCCGCACTTTGAAATATGACAAAGTACGTGTAACATGATGCATGTTACACGTACATGCATCACGTGTAACAGAAAATGATTGGATTTCTTCTTTTCTAGACTCTTTCACCTTTGTGAGGTAATTCATCTTGGACTCAAGAGGAATGCCATTTCTTTCCCAAAAGGTAAAGATCCTCTGTGGCCTTGTGCATGGATTATGTGCTTCTAGAATACTGCGCATCCTGGAATTAGCCTCTTGGCCCCCCGCCAGTCGTGTATAACTTACTCATCTTCAGTGTGTGCATTTCTTCAGTAAAGGGTTCTGCCCTGCTGGGCGGAGGAGTAAGTGCTGCATGGCGTCAGGGCAAGATGGCCGCCAGGAGGACAGGACGCCGGGGCTCTCTGGCCTGGCCAAGCCTCTCTACCTGCAGCGCTTGGAAAGATCTCTGAAGTTGGACAGTTTCCTGCGACAAACCGCTTCTATCTTTAACAGAGACATAAGGTATAGAGAAGAGGAAGGGGATGTCACAGGGACGGACTGCAGATCAGTGCACTAAAGTTTCGTGTTGTTACTGTAGCGACGATAGCGATGACAGCGACGGCGCTTTGGGGACGGGCCTTTCCCTGGACGCCTCCAACCAACACGCAGCGTTGTCGGTGAAGAGTGAGCCATGCGAGCAAGAAGATGCGCTGTCAGACTGCAAACCCCTTAACGGAGTACTGCAAGGCAAAGGTAAGAGGACGTTGGGAGACGAGATGTTTTTCTCCTGCACAAACCTCACTGCATCATGTTTATTTATAAAATATGACATTCTTCCCATCGCTTCAATCCAGCAGACCAAAAGGCCGACAAAACGAATCTCTACAATTTTTCAAAGTTGAAAAAGAACAGGAAATGGCTCAAGGTAATGACAGCCGCTTTCTTTTAAGCATGTAAACATATTACACAAATGACCAGTTAATTTATAGTTAACTATATTATAATTAACATTCAATAAACAACTATTTGATAGTTTATTAGTGAAGGATTGCCATATATAGCTTAACAATCTGGTATTTACAGTTAATAACTACTTGAAGTGCTGCTCCCATTTTTTTTTTTTATTGGCTTATTTTGAACCATTTGCATTCCGTTTTAGCCTCCTTTCTTGTGTATTCTGCAGAACATCCTCCTGAGTGACGACACCACAGACTCTGACGCAGAGTCCGACGACGCTAACTTCAGTTTGTCTCGGGAGGAGCTCCACGACATGCTTCGGTTACACCGCTACAATCGGCAGCATCAGAGCAAGTTCTACTCCGACCGAGAGGTGCCGGCGACCGGGATCCATGCTAAGAGTCCCGCCCACTTAAGAGTTCCCCCTTCTGATCATTTTGTGCATCTCTCCGTGCAGCTCTGTCAGTATCAGTACTACAGCACAGGACTCCTGTCAAGTCACGATCCTTTCTATGAGCAGCAGCGCCACCTGGGAACGAAGAAAAAGAAAATTAAAGATGAGAAGAAAATCAAAGGTAAGGGAAGATGTTGATGATGTTGCTGCTTAAAAAGCATAAAATATTCCACTTTTTTCTTTTTTTTTTTGTTGTTGTTTTTGTTTAGCAAAATTAAAGAAAGTGAAGAAGAAAAAGAAAAGAGGAGAAGAATTTCTCAGCGAGGAGCGTCCGTACATCACCAAGGTGTTTGCAAAGTTTTCCCACGATGCTCCACTGCCCATGGTGAAGAAAAAGCATCTCACTGTTGAACAGCTGAACGCACGGCGGCGTAAACTGTGGCTCACCATCGCTAAAAAGGAGATCCCTAAGGTCAGTGTGTAAGAACCAAGGGACAAACCCGCATTTGCTCTACGATTGTGGACAAAATATGACCTGAAGATTGTTTTTTGTCCTTTATAACCTTTTATTTTTCTTCATCTTTATTACAGTCTTTCAAGCAGAAGACGTCTGCCAAAAACGTAGTACTCACCAACGCTAAAAAAGTAAGTCAACTTTACAGACAACTACATGCTTAAAATAAACTTTTACTGACGTCATCAAGTCATTTTACGGCTCTGAGCGTTAACAGCTGCTCGGTGTTATTCCAGCTGGCCCACCAGTGCATGCGAGAGGTCCGGCGTGCCGCCATCCAGGCTCAGAAGAACTGCAAAGAGACGCTGCCCCGCGCGCGGCGCCTCACCAAGGAGATGATGCTCTACTGGAAGAAATATGACAAAGTGGAAAAAGAGCACAGGAAGAGAGCCGAGAAGGAAGCTCTGGAGCAGCGGAAACTCGACGAAGAGATGAGAGAGGTGGGTCACTACTGGGTCGATGTGGATGGAGACGTCAGAACGGGGTTCCTACACAGTCTGGACAAGGCATTCAATTGGATTTAACTATTTTCTGACTAAAAAGGACTAAGAATGAGATTTGTACAGCAAAGGGATTGAATTTTGACATGAAAAATGTTCTTTTACAATCTTGGATGCACTGAAGTTTACTCCCTCCGCAGGCTAAACGTCAGCAGCGCAAGCTGAACTTTCTGATCACTCAGACGGAGCTGTACGCTCACTTCATGAGCGGCAAGGCCAGCATGGGAGCACCGGGAGGGGACACGACGCAGGAGGACATTTTGCGAAAGCTCGAAGACAATTCGTCACAGAGACAAATCGATGTGGGGGGAGGCGTGATGGTCAATGTTGGACAGGAGGATTATGGTATGATAAGCAGCTTGAGGAATTTATTTGATTTATTAGACAAACGCAGTGAGGCAATCTTAAAAAAAAAAAAAAAAAAAAACATACCAAATTTCCAGCTTTACTTTGTTTTGTTCAACCAATACCGTATGTGATCAGTAAAAACTTCATATTGAATTTGATTCTAATCGTTTATATCAAATGATTTTATGTGCTTACAGACAGCGAATACTACAAATCGCAGGCCTTGAGGAATGCTAGAGAAGCTTATCAGATTCACCAAGAGAGAGTAAGCTGATATCCCTCCATCAATGGAGATTCTGTCATCGCCTACAAAAAGAAGAACTCTTAAATATACCTCTGTCGTGTCTTCATGTAGACCAGGATGTTTGACGAAGAGGCCAAAGACAGCCGCAGTGCCTCTCTGCATGTTGCGGGCAGCATGTCCTCAGGACTGGCCTCTGGGTTTGGAGAGAGCTACAGTCTGTCAAACCCCTCCATCCAAGCAGGCGAGGACATTCCTCAGCCCACCATTTTCAACGGAAAACTCAAGGGTTATCAGCTCAAAGGCATGAACTGGCTGGCCAACCTCTATGAACAGGTAAGTTCGTCTGTCTCTCTCAGTAAAAACTTGACTGGGAAACTGAAAGCTTTTTTGTTTTTAAGGTTTTGGAGCATTGTTTTGTGTTTTTGGTTTCCTAATCGCATCATTAGCATTAGCCTAAAAATGTAATCGGGCCTCAAATAGGATTTTTTTTTAATTATTTTTTTTTTAAGTTTCATCTATTATATAGGGAGCAGCTACTAAAGGCTGAGTCTTTCCAAGCATGGTCTGGGTCTGTTCTCACCAGTATGACTTCACATGATGAATTATCCTTTAAAAAAAAAAGAAAAAGTATGCCTCGAAGATGAATTGTAAAGAAAACAAACCTTTGGTCTTTCAGCAGCAATATTCTGAAATATTGCAGAAGGTTTTGGGAAGTGTGAAAAAGAAAGGGGGAAAAAAATCGTCAGATACTGAGTCTAGCTACACAGTCCGCAGAAGAGATGTAAAGCGAAACCTTCTTACACAAGACGGAAACCATAAACAAAAACACTGCAGAGGTTTTCTGGGCACGACCTCGTCTCGGATTGTTAGAAGGACATGTGTTGTGTGGTGAGCTGAGTCAGCGTTTCAGCTCGCCTCAGGGGAAAATGGATTCCATGTTTCCGACTTTAACGTTATAATGTTGAAAAAGCGCTACGTGTGTTCTGATCTGGCATCACAGTCAGGGTTTGAGAACAACGAAAATCCAAAACACACTTTTCAGATTAAAAAAAAAAAAAAGTACTTTTTTTTTTTTCTTTTTTTTTACTTCACAATTTTGTTGCTGTGAAGGTTGCGAAATGAGAAATGCGGAAAAACTTAAAGCGCTGCAAATACTCTTGCACATTGGTAGCTTTTCTGTCTGTATTACTAAAAGAATCAAGTGTTTAGATGAGAGTGCGTGGTCAGCGTACATCAAAAAACACAAACTTTAAGGTGTTTTTGTTGTGCAATCCTTGCTTTGTATTATTTTTTGGGCAAACCATAAAATTACGCTATTAAACGCCCACATGGAGTAATTTAGCTCTCCGTTTGTTTTCTTCTCTTTGCCACAGGGGATTAATGGAATCTTGGCTGATGAAATGGGACTTGGGAAGACGGTTCAAAGCATCGCCCTGCTGGCCCACCTAGCGGAGGTGAGAGAGAGAGGACTGGGTCAAAGGGGCGACGGGCTCGTTTACACCTCTCCTCCGTAACATGCTGGAATTTTATCTCGTCTCCATTGTTTTTCACTCGTGGAAACATCTACCGGGCTGCCTCTTTGTGCACCTGCTTCCTCTAAAGAGTTCCTGGTTTGCAACTCTGCTTTTTTTTGTTTTTTTTGCAGGTGCTGGAACATTTGACTGCATAAGTAAATATGTCAGATTTCACACATGTGAATAGCGAAATTGCCAGCTTTATTTAGTCTCTTTCCTCTTAAGAAGGGAAGAAGTGGTAATCAAAGGTTGTATGCGGCTTGTTTAGATCGATGACAGAAAGACGCACGCTGCGTTCCTCGTAGGACTTCCTGTTTTTCGGGTCCCACTTTCAACCGCATACGCAAAGACCACCTGGTGTGGCGGCTGATGAGGTCTGCTCTTTTCCCCCGCAGAGAGACAACATCTGGGGTCCGTTCCTGATCATCTCTCCGGCGTCCACGCTCAACAACTGGCACCAGGAGTTCAGCCGCTTTGTGCCCAAATTCAAGGTGGGAATCTGTAAATGCCGACCGAATGCGGCAACGGAAACACCCGCAGAAAACATTCCTCTTTTAAATCTTTCTCTTTTTTTTCTGTTCCTCTTCTCTGTTTATGTGTCAAAAATGTTGAAACTGGTTGATTTTTTTTGTACTACAAACATCCATTAGGGGACAGTATTGTAACATAATATTTTTTTTACTCAATAGAAGACTATTTTGAATTTTTAAGATTTTTTTTTTTAACTAATCTTTTCGCATAGCATAGCTGGCCTTTCTGGCCTTTGGATGAATGTACTTGCCAAAGTTTTCATAACCCTTAACCCTTTTTTTTTCTTTTTTTTTTTCTTTTTTTCCTCTTTGCAAGCACAAATCTGAATGTAACTTAGCTGTATTTTACTTGATAGACCAACACCAAGCAGTGCATAATCATGAAGTTAGAAACGAAAGGATACATGGATGTTAAAAAAAATCTAATTGTTTTCAACACTTTTGTTCCTCTGATACCCCCAAACAAAAGTGAGGGACATTGTTTTCAGACATCGCCGAAATGCTAAACGAAGTTCAAACGTGTGTAATTTAATCTAAGCATAAATACCTTTGCAAGGCACTTCCCAGATAGCACAGAATGATTGAAACAACATTGAATCAATGTCAGCCAGAAACATTGAATCAACGTTGAACGCTGACA